CAGAGACATACAAATGTGACTTGTTCTCTGTCTATATAGACATTATCAACAATACATGTGCTTCTGTAGGGGACCGATCCATTAAATTTTGGTGATCCAACAATTTTTTAAAAAGAAAAAGGTACATATATTACATATATGATTTTTTCAGTTTGATCCGTATAATATGTGGCAAACATTTCTACACAATAAGGGTCAAATTATTTTTAGATCTTTCGCACAACAACCATTTGGAAAAGCCTCGTAGTATACAAATCTATCCCACATAAGATCAAACTATCCGAAATATTGTTGGGAAGGATTCATCATCTTGATTCGAATCAAGGTGACAAATTTCAACTTGTGTTTCAAATTTCAGTCTATCTCTCTCACTGGATATGTAGTGATAGAATTAACGTAATGATATCATCCTTATAATATTTTTTTATAAATAATTTCCAGTATCTGAAGAAAATAAATGGTTGTGTCTTAGGAGGTTACGTAGTGAGCCGTGTCAGCTAATTTGATGCCGTACACGATAATAATTTTTTTTTAATCATACAAAATAATTAATGCATATAAAAAAAATAAAATATATAATAATAAAAATTAATTAAAAATTGATAGCAAAATAAATACTATTATATAATAATAATAAAAAACTAAACACGATAATAATTTAAAATGTGATTCTATTTTTTTTTTCCCAGAAAAATCATTAATCAATCTTTCAAAATCAACTTCTCTAACCAATTCTTTTTTCAATTAATAAAATCGTCAAATCACTCAATCTTTCTTGTGATATATTCGAATGAAAATATGATTATTTTATCAATTATAACTTTAAAAAACTTTTTTCAGCAACCAAGACTGAAATCGTTAACAATACTCGATAAACAATCTATGAGTTAGTGGCATCTATAAATTTAGAATGTAATGTTACATATGTTAAAAATGATTAAGAGCTAAATAAAACAAAAAAGTTAAAATTGATTAAACTCACTCTAACAATGTATTGATGATGTTTGATAAACTGGATTTTTAAATTTTTCTTTGAATGAAGTGTAAAGACGATGACAAAAGAAAAAAAAAAAGTACGAACCTTAACCTTATCTCTTTAGTTGTTTTGGTTTCTTAATTTTTTTTCTATTTTTAATAATTATTTTATCATAATTATTTTTGTGTTTAAAGATAAATGTAATGTTTTAAGTTTGATTTTACTTGTTTGGACTTAACCATACTTATAAATAATAATTAAAACCTTACTAATTTTTTTTTGAAATGGGGTCGTAGGCAAAAGCCTCAAAACTTAAAGGGTAGGCACGGCCCTACGTACGTGCTATGGCATTGACAATTTTGATTAGGTTTCATAGTAAAATTTATTTGTATTAACGGATAAAAATTCAACTCGTTTTGGGTTTTTAGAGTGACATCCCACTAATATATAATTGCCATGTCTCAAACAATCCATAAATGACGTATATGAACATGGGTGTGTCTAATTTTTACCTAAATCCCAAGGAATATTAATTCTAAAATCAAGTTCTTCCGCATCAATTGTGAACAAAAATACATATAAAAACACCTTTAGAAATATTAAAGTTCAAATGAATCCAGGGAAATATATACACAAACTAATAATCTGGTAAAGCAACAAACCCTTCACATCATTATTAAAAATAATCCTATGTCTTAACTAAAAACCGAACAATCTGTATTGGAAAAAAAAATTATGGCTGTAAAAGGGCCGATTAGTAAAACTATGACTATAGGATATTATCCAAAAAAACGAAGAAGAATTTGGTCTATATATAATTGTGGACCTATGTTTTTAAAAAAAAATTGTATCCAGCCAAATATAGAAATCGCTAGCTACTTATTTACCTGCAAAATATAGCTCATCTCCTACATACAAAACATTGCATTGGGTTTTAGAAGAAAAACAAATCTCATCATTTACAAGCACCCATTCGATTTAGTTAGTTTTGCTTTAAATTCGATTTAGCTAGTTAGGTAGAAGTACTACAATCTTGTGTTAAACTAATCATTCAGAAACTATTGTCTTTTATAAAGTAACAAAAGTAGAGAATGTGCAGGGCTCATATCTCTTTGTAAACATACGTACAACAAACAGTTTTTTTGTGAATAAAGGATCACCAGCACTCAGCAGCATTATCTAAAGATCATGTTAGGGTACGTGTATATGTTTGTGTTGCCCGAAAACCCATCCACAACGGATAGATTAATTGCGGAAGAAAAAGGGACGTTGATTAAATAATGAAATTATAGTCAACCTTCCGTCAAAACGCATAGTTGCCATCAAAATTACTTATATTATGGATCAAACACTGAAACATGTAACATGTTCCTACCAAAAAAAAAAAAAAACACTGAAACATGTATATATATATATTCATGCAATTAAGTACATTACTAATATTCACTGGTCCACATAAATTTTGAACAAATATTGTTTATACTTGGCTATCGGTGGATAAGATACCAAACACATGCTTATTGTCAATGTAGAGTAGAACTAGGAAAATTATAAATTAATGGGAAATAGTAATCGTCAAACCCCATCTCTGCTAAACTGAATATCTTTACCGATTAACAAAATTATTCATCTTTTCAAAACAAAATCATATTGCTAATTAATTAGTAATTAACTATAACTCTATAAGTAAGAAATCTTTCAGGGGATAATAATGGGAGTGCGGGCTATATTTGTACTAAAGGATTATTTTCATATAATAGTACTAATAGCAAGTGAAGAGAAAACGAATCCAATGCAAATGAAGATGTTTTTAATTTGTTGTGTTACGCATGAAGTTTTTTTCCCCAGTTTCTTAGGTTAAAAATAAAAGACATTGGACACGTAACATGGGCCGCCAAAAGGTATCCTATGCCCGAAGGTTTCATTTAATTTAGTTATATTAATTAGATAGATCTGTATTAATTTGTTTGTAAGTCCACAATAATTTATATTATAAATGTTTTTTTAAGAGCTAATCTAGTCTGGCTTATCAGACTGATAAACTCGTGATCTAATTATTATACTGATACTGATTTACCTTTTTAAAAAAACTTTCGACTTATCAAGCTGGTAAAATAAAAACATTGCATAACATTACTTAAAGGGTGTGTAATTAGTTCCGTACAAATCTTTAATTTGCCTTAAAAACGTTTAGGTGGGAGTATTGGATGATTGATTTTAAGGGAATACAAAAGAATTAGAAAATAATTGATTTTGAAGTAATTTAAAGTTTTTGTTGAGAATTTAAATCAATTCTATCAAAATGACAACAAAAATGGTAAGAATTAGTTCTTTACAAAATTTCATTGTAATTCTATTAAATTCTTTTAAAATGACATTAGCATAAAAAGAGCACTAAAATTGAATAATACCAACAATTAATAGAATTAAAAATCACTACATTAAATAACATTAGAATTTAAAGTAATTTAAAAGAATAATTTCAAATATTAAATCCAATAACACATGAATTTAAAAGAATTTTTGAAATACAATATTGAATAACAATAGAATTTAATAGAAAGCTTAATTCCTTCTAATTCAATTAAATTTCTTAATTGAATACCTCCTCCCCTTTAGTTTGATAAAGCAAACGACTTTCGTTTGCCCACTCTCGCCTTCCTCTTTAACGCGGTTTTCGAATTCCCCTGCCCGTCCTGCCCCGTTAATTATGGCGGGAAAATTGAAGAGAAAACCAAAATCCCTTAAATTTTAAAGAGTAAAAAAAAAATCAGAATTGCGAAAAAAGGGAAACAAAAATCGAATATTTGGGCGCGAAGAGAAGTCAGCCCGGGAAAAGCGGGCTTTGTTTGTGGCGGCTGATGTGTGTGGGAGTTTGGTCCGCGTCATCGTCAACAACACGTGTCTGTCTGAATTGACCCACTTGAAGACAAATGACACGTCATCATGTAGGTCTATTTATAATTTCAATGGTTTCATGAATATTGTTGAGACGTAGCCATTCGTCACGTATGACGCCGCAAATTTATTATAGTAATATGGAGTATATATAAAAAAAAATTATCTGTAAAAAAAAAATGAAAGCTCACCAAATATTATGATTGCGTAAGGATGTTTACATTTGAGAGACAAAGGAGAAGGATGTTTTAAATTCGAAAAGTGCATTTTGGTTTTGTCATTTTTGTTCACAAAAAATTCATTCTATTCTTTTTTCTTTTTATTTTTAGCATTAAACCATTCACTTCGAATCTCTGGTTTTCTTAAAAATATTGTTTGAAGTTTTCATTTTAGGACAATCAAATCTACATTTTCATTAAAAAGAAAAATTTCTTGAATGATGATATATGTGGAAGAGTAAAAACCTTTCATGTACACTCTTATATAAGTACTACTGTACTAGGGTATATACAATCTCTCTATGTATTATCTGTGAATATACAAATTTTCTTTCATAAAAATTATTAAGTGATGGAAAAAAAACAGTGGTCGATTATTTTTAAGAAAATAATGCAATAGGAAGAAGACTATAAAGTGAAAACAGTGGTCGATTAATTTTAACACCCTCTTCCCTTTATTAAATAAGAAATATATGTTAAAAAATGTCATGACTTTCTTCATAAAAACAGATGGAGTAAAAACATTTATTTGTGTTTTTCTATAGAAAAAAGTGTATCAAAAGAAGCCCAAAGAAAATAAATTAAAATTCTTATATACACTGGTTTGAACTTATCTTTCTTCAGGACCCAAAAGCCCAACATAATCTGTAAGCCCATATTTGAGTTAAACAATTGTTTATAGAGTGAGATCACTGCTACAATGTGCTATTGCAAGAATTCTTTGCTTTTGCATAAACAGAATTAAGTTTAATTACAAAATGTATACAATTAAACCCTACTAGGATAATAGAATAACACATACATCGAATTTCAATTTTATTCATGTTATATACACTTATGACTTTATACACTTCACAGAGAGTTTTGTTGTGTGTGGCATAAATTACTTTTTCTTGTTCAAACAGTAATTACCAAGGAAGATCTGAACCAACAGCAACAACTTCAATTAACTTACTCGAAGCCCATCTCATTGCATCCTCTGTAACCTTCTTCTCTTCAACCACAATCTTCTTCAAGCATTGTGATTTCAGAACAAAAGCCTCCACTTCATCACCCTGAACCAATCCACAGCTCACAATGTCTAAATTCCTCAGCTTCACACAGCTTTTGTTCAGAGAAACCAACACTGAACCTGTCAAACTCTTACACCCTCTCAAATCCAACTCGATCAAGCCGTTGCAAGAAGCTAACATCGAAACGACTTCTTTATCCGATAAACACTCGTTAAACGGCAGCTCCAGTTTCCTTAACCTCCCCAGATGCTGTCCTAACGTCGCCAACAAACCCGTTTCTCTCTCAACCGCGTCGCAGCTACGCAGAGAAAGCTCTTCAAGACTCGAGCTAAAGCTTGAAGCTAACACCTTTAGACTATGACCAGTCACAAAGTAACAGCTGGTAAGCCTAATAGTAGATAAAGATTTGAAATTCTTAGCGAGAGAGACGAGATGCTCGTCGGTCAAATCCATAGGTAGACGCAAATCCAGTTTCTTTAAAGTATCGTTGCATCTTGAATTGTTCATGAAATGAACCAATCCATCTTTGTTCCCACCATCGTAGATCAACAGAGACTTAAGAGATTCACAAATCTCTGAAACTTTCAGCAGAACCACATCAGCTATACTCCTACATGTCCTAAGCTCAATCTCTTCGAGATTCTTTAAACACAAACCGAAAAACTCGGTTTCTCCAATGGTTCCACATGATTTGAGACTCAGCTTCTTCAGCTTTCTGCATCTCTTCCATAACCAGCTAACTCCGATAACGTCTGATTGGATTCCGGTTAAAGAAACCGACTCCAAACCCAATTCGACGACTTCCGGGTTCGGGTTTGACCCGGAGTTCGAGGAGTTTGATGAGCAAACATCGATCGATAGTTCCTTGAGAGACGGAAACGAAGCAACCCAGTAGAAAGAAACAGGTCCCAACAATTTGAGAGAGAGAGAAGTGAGAGATAAGGAAGTGGAGAGAGGAAGCAAGGAGGATGGAGAAACTGGGTTGACCAAGAAACTGAGGTTTCGGAGATTGAGGCAGCAAGAAGAGACGATCGAGATGAGACGATCGTTGAGACTCGATTCCGCCGTCGATTTATCGGAAGCCGAGCGAATTGGGATCGGGATTTCGGGGTCAAAGATGAACCAGACGAGAGAGAGGGAAGAGAGAGAAGGGTAGTTGTGGAGGATAGAGGGCAAAAGGGTAATTACTGAGCTGTCGAAAGGATTGATTCGTAAGGACATGGACGTCTTCGAAGCTCTGTAGAGACGAAGCCATCGTTTGGAGACTAGAGGAACGGATTCGAAAGAATGTAACGAAGATGAAGGAGGCGATGATGGCAGTCTTGTGAATATCTCGTGGAGGATCTCATCGAATAGAGTTTCCTCCATTTTTTGGGACTCTGGAAAAATCGAATTTGAACAGAGGAAGAAAGAAGAATTAAGGTGAGGTTTGTTTTTGTTTGGGGTTGGTTTTGGACGTTTTTTGTGTTCCTTCTCGTGTCGTGGCTTTGCTTTTGACACTTGTTGTGATGTTTGATTCTTCGTTCACGCAAGAGACAGACACAAAGAATTGATAAAAATGGAGTTGTGTTGTCGTATGAAATTCTCTCATTAAATAAATAGCATTAGCTTAAATCTGGTTAAATAAGTAAACTTTATAACGATCATATTATTCTGTTTAAATACAAATGTGAACGTTTTCGGTTACTCGAATTTCACATCATATTTTGGTTTTGAAGGTGCACAATAGTTAATCCACAAAACTAATCTAATTAAAATTAGAATCTCATGTCAAAACACAACTACAAAAAGTCTACTCCCTCCTTAGTTTACTTCTATAACTAGATTTATGATTCGCGCTACGCATGAATCTGTATTAATAGTTTGGTTTAATTTTGTTTAAAATATTATCTTGTAAATTATCAAAATTATAATAGATTTATAAAAAAACTCTTTTATATAAGAGGAATTAAAATATAATTTATAAATTTCTCTTATTTTTATTTATTAAATTTTAATTTTTTTTATGTGAAATAATAACAATAACACTTATCAAATTATCCAACTTTGATATACACATACATTTGATTTAGGAAAATATTTTTTGCTAAGATCTTGGTATTTTGTTTTGGTTTTCATAAGATTTCTATAGTTCTTTTTTCTTTAAAGTTTATGTGTTTAAATATTTAGTTTTTTTTTATTGAATGTGATGTTGTGTACATATGCATTTATAATCTATGATTCATGTTGATTCACATTTAGTTTTGTTAGGAAGTTGCAATTATCATGCAAATCAATTTCTTTCTTTTTTACCAGGTCATTCATTAGTTTTAGCTTATATCTTTATTCAATTTTTATTGAGATCTATTTTTTTGCAGTCTAATATTTGATAATTTTAGTTTTTATACTTGTAGAATCGGTGGTGTGAAGTCTTAATGTTTTAATAAAATGTTAGGTTTTCCAATATATAAAATGAAATTAATGTTTTAAAAAAATAAATTAATTTTGTAATGTTTTAATCAAATTTAACATTTTCATGTTTAATAAAAAATATTGATATGGACCAATCATATTGAGTTTTTTCATCTTAATCATGCTTAATATTTTTGTGATTAATAAAAAACGATAATATAGACCAATCAGATTGAATTTTTTTGTCCTATGTGGACGGCCTCAATGCATTATACCATTAAGACATCAATTTTTATATATTATAAATTTGGTCTTGAGTCGGTTGACAATATAAATAATCTAATATTCTATTTTAAGAAAATGAAGAAACTAAAGTCTTATTGAAATTGGGAAAAACTTTTTTTTTTTTGCTTTGGGCAAAAATATAACTTTGGTGAAGTAACTATTTGTTTTCTTCAGTTTTACAACAAAAAAGTAGGTGAGAGACGTTAAAGTAAGGTTAGGTGATTAATTTTGCTAAGGGTTGAGTTGTCGTTAAAGATATACAATTAAAATGGCGTAAAAGAAAGATAAGGCGATTATAGTTAGGCGCGTGGGATGATAAAATTCCAGTCAGCTTTATAAACTTCCAAAATGTGAAAGCGACTCAATACTTTTAAACGTTCACCAAAACCCTCCCAAATTTATTTGATAGATTAATTACGAAAAGCTTTGTCAAACAAAAACTCAGTGACATCGAGGAAAAAGAAAATACTTTCTGTCACGTTCGTGTATGAAATATAAAGTCGTTTATTGATTGAAAAACATATATAAGTCACAGTTAAAATTCTATCAGGAGTAACAATTATATCAACAATCTAACCGATTATAGTTGGATAATTTAGATCTCCAGCAATACAATATATTTTGTAATATATAGAAAAAAACATTTTAAAACTTATATCATCTCCTTTAAACAGAAAATAATATTTTTTATTAAATGATTTAATGCGACATATTTAAAATCTAATTTGAAAGTTTTTAATGCTAATATTTTAAATTTGAACGTTTATAATGTGAGTGAAATTCACTCAAAATTTAAAGTATTATAAAGTGTTACGATTTTCCAAAATTATGTTGAAATTCGAAAGAAATGGGAATGTAAAGACCAAGCTTTAAGATCCTAAAAGAAAGCCAAAAACGAGAAGCAGCTTTATACAGAAAACATAAAACAACAAGCTGTTTTCTTACCCTCACGTGGCACCAGAAAAGAAAATCAAAGCCATCGGCGCGTGATGAACACTCGGCCACGGAAACGCTAAGACGACAGCAAACCTTCTATCACCACCAATAAAAAGCCTGCCACGTATCATAATCTCACCTTCGTTTCCCTTAACTTTCTTCTCCCTTTCCATAAACCCTCTGAAAACCCCCCCTTGTTCTAGGGTTCCGGCGTCAATCTCTCTCACTAACAACTTCGATTTCACGGCCATTCTTCACCGTTTCTTCAAGTATAGTCTACTTTCTTATGCGTTGATGTAGCAAAACAAAAAAAAAATGGTTCGTTTCTCGTCCTGCTTCTTCGCCCTCGTTCTGGTTCTGCTTTCGATTCCAGAAACTTCGTCGCAGCTGGGTTCTGGTCCACACATTACGGATGTCAACATACTATTACCTCCAAGGATGAAGAATCCTGTGGAGTATCGGCTTCAAGGAAGCGACGGATGCTTCAAATGGTACATTGTTACCCAATTTCTATAAACTCGTCTTTGTTATCTTCTCCAACTTGAAATCAGCTTAGATATTTCTTAAACTGTAATTAGCATCAGCTAAATTAAGGAATTATTCTTGGTGAACATGTAATCTCATATTGTTCTCAAGTTAAAGGCTTCTCTATCCAGTTGTGAATAACTATGTAGTTGGACCGTGTTGATTTTTTTCTTCTGTTCTTGGTTTCAAATTTGCAGGTCATGGGATCATCACGACATTCTCTCGGTCACGCCTGAGTTTAATTCGAGCAGCCATTGCTCGACCAGCGCGCGTCTAAGGTCGATTTCTCCGTATAGTGGTAGAAAGGAAACTGCAGTTTACGCCACTGATATACAGACCGGGATGGTGATTCGGTGCAAGGTGTTTATTGACAACTTCTCTCGGATTCAGATTTTTCATAACTCAATCAAGCTTGATCTTGATGGACTTTCCATGCTCCGAGTCCGGGCTTTTGATAATGAAGGTAAGTGTCTTTCTCAAGATTTTAGCATAGCCTAACGTTTCTGGTTTTTTTTTCTTCAGTTTGTGCTTTTGAATCTGATGAAATCTTAATGCAGAAAACGAGTTCTCTTCGCTTGTGGGTCTACAATTCATGTGGAAGCTAATGCCTGAGAGTGGTGGGTCAACGCATCATCTTGCTCATGTGCCTTTGAAGGAATCTCCATTGACTGTATGTGGGGGACTCTGTGGCTACATGGACATCCATAAAAAGCTTGAGGATAGTGTATGTATATCTATTGAGTGTGAATTACTACTGAATCTTAAAAGTTTCATGGATGAGAAATCTAATTTGGGATGGTAAATGCAGGGGGTGTTTTCAGATCTGTTTGTGGTGAAGGGTACCAAAATTGGACATGAGAAGGTTTCAGTTCATCTGCTTGAGGCTCCACTTACCCATATAGCCGATGAAATAGTACTAACGGTAGCAGAGGCCATGTCACTTGAACCTCGTTCACCAGCTTATGTCCTTATGGGAGCTTCTTTCAGTTACACTTTAAAGGTCATGCGAGGGAATATTCCTCAAGGTTTGTCTGCATCTTATAGTTTTGTTTGACTTTTTCAGTAAGCAATGATTGAGTTATTTCATAACCTTTTGTTTGAAAGCTCAGGTTGCTTGCTGCTACACATGTCATCTGAAAATGATTGATAGTTCATTCCCATATTATACTATCAGGATTATTTGCTCTAGGATGTCTCAGTGGTGTTGATTCATATTCTAAATATATTTTCTCGAGTGTGACACACCATGTTATGTTGCTTACCAGTCTCGTTCTTTATTGGTTTACTGTGTATTGTATTTGCAGCCGTGCATCTACCATCACCACATCACAGATGGTCTGCGTTGAACTCTTCTGTTGTTCAAGTGGATTCTTTGATAGGTCTGACTAAAGCACTAAGCTTGGGGGTAACAACCGTTGTTGTTGAGGATACTCGGGTTGCTGGCCACATTCAAGGATCATCTATTAATGTTGTCACTCCAGATTCTTTTATCTTGTACATGTCACCATGGTCAGTGCCAGGGGATCCTACTACAGAATCGAAACCTTTTCCGTCATCTATGCATTGGTATGTGGTGTCTGGTCGTCAATATCTAATTCAAATGAAGATCTTCTTTGGACGACCTGATGCGCATGAAATCTACACAACAGAGGTATTTCCCTTTTCTCATATCCTCTTTGCATTCACGGGAAAACATTGCATGCTCGTATGAAGTTTGCTAAAGTCTCTATGTGTGAAAGTGTTACTTGGCCTCTACGTTTTCAAAACTAAAGGACGTGGTGCGCAATTTTTTTTATCTTAAGGTTTTATTCGTCCATATGCTTGTTACAGTAACTACAATGTCTTTGGTGATTTCCTTCATTTTTTTACTGATTTTGATGCTTTTGTATGTGGCGTCTTTATACTATACATGTGTTCTTACTGGGAAAGGGAACTGCCGGTGACTACACATCGTCAATTCTTTAAGGGACGGTGGACGAAATCAAAATGGAGAATATAAAAATGTAGAAAAGCTTGATGACTTATATTCCATGGCTGTTCTTTCACACTGCTGTTCGTTTGTTGCTTTAGTTTCTCTTTCTTTGGCCTAGTTTTATCCAGATGATCTATTATAGATAATATTCTCCATGATTTTTGGTATGTTCAACATAATAGTTTCCTTTGTCTTGATCGCAGACGGATGATATCAAACTGTATGGAGACGATTCGAATTACTGGAAAATCGTCTCACT